TTTTCATGCAATAACTTGCCACCATACATAGGAAATATAAAGATAGAAAGAAAACCCTTGATGCACTGTGCTTAGACGTTTTCTCCGGAAGAAAACAAGACCTGCAGACACGAGTGGCCTTATCTTATTTTACTAAGACTATCTTTCCCATAATCAACCCAGGCGGGACTGTTTGGAATTTGGTCATTTGTGCCACCATGCGGCTCCTGGAGAGAAATTATTTGATGTTTCTTTTCCCAGAAAGTTTCTAGGCTCATGTGTTTTCCTGCCACTGTGAGTAAACATTAGCTGGTTCAGAGAGCACCTTTTCAGGCTTGGCCCATGTGTTCGATCTTCTGGCACTCAAGTTGTGAAAGCAACTGCTGTCTGTGGACGTTGGAACACAGCTACTAAATGTTTAACTGTCAGATCAGACTGAATCATCCATGTTCCCCACAGTATCTTCATGTACTCTTCCTGGACATGATTACTGCTGTAATAACATTCTAATAGTACCTTATCTCTAGCATTAGTGTTTCAGTAGCCCACTTGTCATTTTTGTGCCCTGGTTTGGTTTCTCAACACCTGACATAGACCTTCTTTGATTGGACAATGCCGGAGGTGGTGTTGCATTTGCTCTAGTATTATCAGGTAGGCAGTTAGAAAGGCCATTAGGCATAAGACAGGAAATTATGAAAGACTGTACCTGTATGTACTAAGAAACAAATTATGAAGCTGTGGAGGTTTTTAAGTAAGATGTCAGGATCTTATTAAGCTTTCTAGACAAAGTTAACTTGTGTTCAAGAAGCATATTGTTGCTGTCGTGTAAAACTCGGAATTAAATTTCCTCTTATGCAACATGGACAAATGAGACTGAAGCATACCGAACATCAGTGGTTATTATTTGCAGCAGTATATAGTATGTCTCTGATTAGTAGTATATATGCCTCCCTGGAAGCCTGGGTGAACTAGAAGTTATATTAAATGCTGCAGTATCAGTTCTGATTAAAGGAAAGTAAGTGCATTTATTTAAAGCTATGCATCCAATTAACAGAGTGAAGACATGCGTTTGTGTGGAGGGGTGATTGTTTTAAGTTGCTTTTTTAAATGAAAAATAGAAACTAAATGCATTACTTTACCCTGCTGAAGCCAATAATTATTTTCTGACAGTTGACAGATGTCCACTTCGTGCGGAACTGTAGTACTTCATCATATTTCTATCTTTACAATATGAAGAAAAAGAAACATGATCGCTGACCAGGATTTATTGCTTTTTCATATAAATTTTAACACAGTAGACATTTGCCGGCTGGTATGAGAAATAAACTCTTTTCACAAACCAACTTTAAAAAAATAAGTTAAAAAGAGGCAAAAATGTTTGCATGCTAATAAAACACTGTCCAATGTTTTAGACAGAGACTGAAACTGTTAAAATCCTTCATTTTCAATACCAGCTTTTTCAAATGAATGCAACTATTGTTGGAATGATCACATTTGAATAGATTCTGCTCACCTTGGTAATGCAGCAGGAGGAATCCTGAATTGAGCCGCTGATTGCTACGGAAATGAATGGAGATCTGGTTGCTCCAGCTACGAAGAACAAGGCCCCTCATCAGGACTGAGTCATTGGCGAGGAGGAAAGGTTCTTGACCACCTGTGTCTTCCACTGTTATCTGCTCTCCCTCCATCATGCTCACATTTAGCACCTGACAAACAGACAATGAGGTTAAACGTGGTTTTTAGTCGTATTCATATTGTATGATAGTACAGAAACAATGTGAATCCTTCAAATTTAAAGCTCTGATTGTAGCTTCAGGATATTTTTGCAATTATATCATACAAACTTCTCATTTTCAATTGTTTAAGTGTATAGTTCAAGCTAAATTTTGCAAGATTTAGATTTTTAAATAGTTTCAAAACATATTTGAAACCAAACATTTGGATATAATTCACATTCTTTTCTCAAGATATAAAAAGAATGACATTTTCTGCAATACTGGCAATCATTCCCTTCATATAGGTCTATAATAACCTTTTTATTTACCACCCAAGTTTTTGTTCCTGCTTGAAATTAATATTAGTCAGAGTTTTGATATTATTCTTATTAACATTATGTGAAGGGAGCAAACGTTTGGAGTAATGGCAAGTAGGTCATCTTAGTTTAAATGACTAGAAGTGAATCAGCAACACATTAAAATGACCAGCTAGTCCTGTTCAGAAAGGAGATGAGTTCAGTGACTCAGAGAGGAAAAGTTTTGGTTTAAAATGTGTGTCTTAACCCAGAGACTAGAAGCTAAAGACATTGAAAAAGATGCTAGGTTTAAGCAAAAGAATGTCATTATGCGTAATTAAACAACAGGTCACTGAGGGAAAAATCTATTATTCCAAAAGCAATATAACAAGGTAGATTAAAGTTTGCAAATTAACTTAGGGACACGTATTTTATATCTGGAGACATGCCCTGTGGCTGTAAGAGCTTAAATTGATTTCTATACCTAAGGGAAAAAAGGGGAAACTTGCAAGAGAAGACATCTCAACTGTGCAGTACGGGGGTGGCAATGGCAGCTTCAAGTTGTGGGAATGTTTTNGTAATTCTCCAGCACTGTAGATTTTGATATTTCACCCTGAGATTTTTAATGGCCCCACATTTCTGCAGTGCACCTGTATCACAGGCACAGTTATTTAATAGTACTGTACTAATGGAAAAGCCAGCTGGAGTTGTAAGGCTATATCATAAACCTTCACACGTAACATAACATGAACACATTTGTCATTGTCCCAATGGATCATATGAAAGATTCCCTTTTTAGATGTTTACAGTAAAATGCATTTATCATAATCTGTCTATAGCTGTTCTGCATCACTTCACACAACTTGTATAATATGTAATGACTTGTCACTGTAATGAGCTGTCACTGTTATCATTTGGCCTGACCACACACTAATATTCATATAACTGAGAACGGCTGGTTCATCTCATGTCAGCAGCAATGTTTTGATGCTTTGTTTCATTTACTTACTGTCCAAAACGTCCCATTAAAGTAGAGGAGTGAAAGCTTTGCACACCAGCTTCTCCCCATCAGCTAAAATCGATGGGGCATGTAATTGGTGGTCGCTTTGTGTTATTGCTAAGATAAACAGACATTGTTAAAGGCGTGGAGGATCAATGTCATGAAAAAACAAGCGAGGGATATGAAGTATTTATGGACTATATTTATATTGATCGAGCATAAAGTAACTATTTATGGTGAAATGTTTTGTACAGTCTTCATTGTACTACTGGATTACTTTTAAGGATTCACACTAAAATTGAATTGTTAGATTTGAAATATGCCCACACAACTTTAGGATGAATAAGTCTGTTGGAAAAAAAAAGCCTTTACAAATCATTTGATATTTAAAGGCTCTCCGACTTGTTATTGTATAGCGATGCCTTGTCTGTAAATTACCAGCCTAAATGTTTTATTTTGGTACTTAGTTTGCTAATTACTAATTGTCTTATTAAGAAACATTTCTAATCTATCAAGTTTTTTCATGCAATAACTTGCCACCATACATAGGAAATATAAAGATAGAAAGAAAACCCTTGATGCACTGTGCTTAGACGTTTTCTCCGGAAGAAAACAAGACCTGCAGACACGAGTGGCCTTATCTTATTTTACTAAGACTATCTTTCCCATAATCAACCCAGGCAGGACTGTTTGGAATTTGGTCATTTGTGCCACCATGCGGCTCCTGGAGAGAAATTATTTGATGTTTCTTTTCCCAGAAAGTTTCTAGGCTCATGTGTTTTCCTGCCACTGTGAGTAAACATTAGCTGGTTCAGAGAGCACCTTTTCAGGCTTGGCCCATGTGTTCGATCTTCTGGCACTCAAGTTGTGAAAGCAACTGCTGTCTGTGGACGTTGGAACACAGCTACTAAATGTTTAACTGTCAGATCAGACTGAATCATCCATGTTCCCCACAGTATCTTCATGTACTCTTCCTGGACATGATTACTGCTGTAATAACATTCTAATAGTACCTTATCTCTAGCATTAGTGTTTCAGTAGCCCACTTGTCATTTTTGTGCCCTGGTTTGGTTTCTCAACACCTGACATAGACCTTCTTTGATTGGACAATGCCGGAGGTGGTGTTGCATTTGCTCTAGTATTATCAGGTAGGCAGTTAGAAAGGCCATTAGGCATAAGACAGGAAATTATGAAAGACTGTACCTGTATGTACTAAGAAACAAATTATGAAGCTGTGGAGGTTTTTAAGTAAGATGTCAGGATCTTATTAAGCTTTCTAGACAAAGTTAACTTGTGTTCAAGAAGCATATTGTTGCTGTCGTGTAAAACTCGGAATTAAATTTCCTCTTATGCAACATGGACAAATGAGACTGAAGCATACCGAACATCAGTGGTTATTATTTGCAGCAGTATATAGTATGTCTCTGATTAGTAGTATATATGCCTCCCTGGAAGCCTGGGTGAACTAGAAGTTATATTAAATGCTGCAGTATCAGTTCTGATTAAAGGAAAGTAAGTGCATTTATTTAAAGCTATGCATCCAATTAACAGAGTGAAGACATGCGTTTGTGTGGAGGGGTGATTGTTTTAAGTTGCTTTTTTAAATGAAAAATAGAAACTAAATGCATTACTTTACCCTGCTGAAGCCAATAATTATTTTCTGACAGTTGACAGATGTCCACTTCGTGCGGAACTGTAGTACTTCATCATATTTCTATCTTTACAATATGAAGAAAAAGAAACATGATCGCTGACCAGGATTTATTGCTTTTTCATATAAATTTTAACACAGTAGACATTTGCCGGCTGGTATGAGAAATAAACTCTTTTCACCAACCAACTTTAAAAAAAGAAGTTAAAAAGAGGCAAAAATGTTTGCATGCTAATAAAACACTGTCCAATGTTTTAGACAGAGACTGAAACTGTTAAAATCCTTCATTTTCAATACCAGCTTTTTCAAATGAATGCAACTATTGTTGGAATGATCACATTTGAATAGATTCTGCTCACCTTGGTAATGCAGCAGGAGGAATCCTGAATTGAGCCGCTGATTGCTACGGAAATGAATGGAGATCTGGTTGCTCCAGCTACGAAGAACAAGGCCCCTCATCAGGACTGAGTCATTGGCGAGGAGGAAAGGTTCTTGACCACCTGTGTCTTCCACTGTTATCTGCTCTCCCTCCATCATGCTCACATTTAGCACCTGACAAACAGACAATGAGGTTAAACGTGGTTTTTAGTGGTATTCAGATTGTATGATAGTACAGAAACAATGTGAATCCTTCAAATTTAAAGCTCTGATTGTAGCTTCAGGATATTTTTGCAATTATATCATACAAACTTCTCATTTTCAATTGTTTAAGTGTATAGTTCAAGCTAAATTTTGCAAGATTTAGATTTTTAAATAGTTTCAAAACATATTTGAAACCAAACATTTGGATATAATTCACATTCTTTTCTCAAGATATAAAAAGAATGACATTTTCTGCAATACTGGCAATCATTCCCTTCATATAGGTCTATAATAACCTTTTTATTTACCACCCAAGTTTTTGTTCCTGCTTGAAATTAATATTAGTCAGAGTTTTGATATTATTCTTATTAACATTATGTGAAGGGAGCAAACGTTTGGAGTAATGGCAAGTAGGTCATCTTAGTTTAAATGACTAGAAGTGAATCAGCAACACATTAAAATGACCAGCTAGTCCTGTTCAGAAAGGAGATGAGTTCAGTGACTCAGAGAGGAAAAGTTTTGGTTTAAAATGTGTGTCTTAACCCAGAGACTAGAAGCTAAAGACATTGAAAAAGATGCCAGGTTTAAGCAAAAGAATGTCATTATGCGTAATTAAACAACAGGTCACTGAGGGAAAAATCTATTATTCCAAAAGCAATATAACAAGGTAGATTAAAGTTTGCAAATTAACTTAGGGACACGTATTTTATATCTGGAGACATGCCCTGTGGCTGTAAGAGCTTAAATTGATTTCTATACCTAAGGGAAAAAAGGGGAAACTTGCAAGAGAAGACATCTCAACTGTGCAGTACGGGGGTGGCAATGGCAGCTTCAAGTTGTGGGAATGTTTTAAAAAAGAAACAACAAAATTCAAAAAAAAAAAGGGAAGAAAAAAAAAAAAAACTAACAAGGAAAAACGAAAAAAATTCGAAAAAAAAACAAAAAGAAAAGTAAAATGAAAAAAAAAAAAAATAAAAAACCAGATTGTTGCAAATGGGCTTAAATAAAACAAAGTTCATGTTTTGGAGATGGTTTAAAAAAACCCCAAACTCAGTTTCACTGGAAATTTGTACACAAGGCTGAAAAGAGGTGTGCAAGCAAAACTTTCTACAAATCCTATTAAGTAACATCAGTTCTACTAGAGGACCACATTTCATACATTTTGAACTATGTAGTACTAAAACTATTAACCGAATTGTTCACAATTAAGTGATTACTGAATTAACATAAATTAATTTAGTAAATGAATGATCATCATAACTGGAGTATGCCGACAGTAGAACCATGGCAAAATGCAATTTTCTGAAAGAACACATCAGTCATAGATTTAATTAAGCAACAATGTAAAATGAATGTATAAAATTGTATTTTAAGATGAAAACCTTCTTTGGCTACTGTACATATGTGCTCAATCCAGAGCTTGACGTAGTTTTATCTTCTTCTCTTTATACACACCTTTTACTACACTGTAAAATCCAATAGATACCCAGACTTACTACATGACTATATTAGTTAACTTTACAAGGTTAGCAACTATTTTTTATTACTTATTGTACTGTTATGGTCACTTCCATTGTTAAAATGTCATTATATTTATAATTTAAAGCAAACATACCTTTATTTGGAGTTAAGCTAACTAGCAACAATAAGTCACTCCCACTCCCCTCCAATTCAAAGGTTGGCATGCTTTTTAATGCAAAGGTAACTAACATAACTGTATTTTACACTGTAGAAATTTATTAATTGACTAATATGAAAAATAGTAGAGAGATTGGAAGACGAGTAATATAGCAGTTTGTTGCATCCCTATTATGTTTACATTTTTAAGTCTAATCATTAAATCAGAGAAATTTTGTAAATTTCAAGATTTAAAGAATGTTAAAAAAATTGTCAGCTAACTGTTGAGGCATCTACTAAATATACATCTCTTTTGTTTTCCTATCTGGTGTAAAAGAGCTTTAATCTGATTAAATGCCCAACATTATGGTAAAATAAAGTATGTTTTACAATTATTAATATTCCTGTTCTACAGTCGATGCAAATATCTGGTTTCAGATATAATAAGTAGTTTGCATCAGCAATTGAAAATAGAAGTATTATGACAACATGTGGCCTTTAACAATAATCCAACGGGGGGAAAAATCAAAATGCTTATGTATTCCAAGAAGCTTTAGTTTCCATAGAGCCAAACATTTCTGTAACAGGATCCAGTACTGCTCATCTACTTACAATCAAGCTCAGTCTGTTAAGCTTGCTGTGAAAAATTGGGTCACCTGCTGAGGTGGTTTGCACACTTGTCTACCAACACAATTATAGAGGGAAACATTTAGTCAGTTTTTTTGCTGAACCACTGGCAGGCTGTAGACATTGTTTTGAGTAATTGTTAAATCTGTCTGGGTCATTCTACTTATGGTTTGTTGCACAAATGATTCATCCTCTGTGCCTGTAAGCAACTCTGTCAGCAGTGCTTTATGTTTTCAACAGGTTGAACAGCATCTGCAGCTAAATCTGCTGGAGGAATCTCAGGAGTACAACATGTAGTTAAACTGTCTGGATAACAGAGTGCTGACACCCTTTGGAGCAGCATCTCATTTTTCCCTGTTGTGCTATATACTAAAGCTGCTAATCCAGCAGTAGGTCATAATTATCTTTCTGTATGGTGGAGGAAAATGCTTTGACCTTGACTTTATAAAGACTTTTTGAACATGAAAATATAGCCTACCCTTAAAGTTTGAGTCCAAACCAATCATATGAATTGTGTATGTTTTCATAAGTGGTTAAACAAGTGGAGAGAACTAACAGATTTGCTCTTCACTGTATTTATTGATAACTTTTAAACCATACATGAACATTTGTCAGGTCAAACATCTGCAGGGCAATGACACAACGCTCCCACATATAGGCATCCCACATGGATTCTAAACTTCATCTTATTGTATTGAGTATGCATATGGGTTGAATGTCTAAGCTAAAAGCTACAGATATAAGGTAAGTACTTTAAACTTGGTATTTGTCAATAAAACTTGGTGCACCTTCAAATATATATTTTTTCTGTAATGGAGAGCTTCAGCAATTCGTTAAATTTGTGTACATTGCATTTTTTGCAGTTCTCTTTCTGCAGGCTGCCTCCCTATTTTGACTAGCATCATACATGTGGGGCTCTGCATAGATCCAGACTAATAAGGCCACTAGAGTATTGCTTTACATTTTGTCACAGGCAGCCTACAAACACTTAATAATTTAAAAATCATATCACCTTTAAAGAACTCACTTATGAAGGTGTCTCAATTAACCGAATTTTCAAAGATTTGAATTTCTAAATTAAAATGTCTTTAATTACTAATGATTAGCAGTGAATGATAGAACTTATCTAACTAACTATAACCCAATTTGCTCTCTGAGGAACTCTGAACAGCAGACGCTTTTCCTTTATGCCCCATCTGGTCTGATTCTTCCAATTAAACATCTTGCTGAGTTCTTAGATGGTTCATCTTGCACCTTGGACTAGTAGGATAACTTTATAGCCTGGCTGGAGTTTGAAAAGGTATGTGTGAATACTTTTTGGTGGGGTGTTAATACTTTTGACAAAAGATAAAACAAGCTCCCCTCCATCCAAGGTCAAGGCTCTTTGGACAGATGTAAAACTTCTATGATAATGCTGGAAACATGCTAAATATCATAACTATATTTCTTATTGAAATATTAATTTAGAATTTTGAGGCCAGATAACCCCCATTATTTTTTCAGGTATTGTGAAGCGAACCAGCTAACCTTTAGCCACTTGCAATATTCACTTTCTAAATCCTTTTTTGATTTTATGGAAACATATGGAGTGCATTTTGAATGCTTCTTTGGTCTTAGATTTGGATAAACTTAAAAACAGCAATTTATTTACAAGTTAAACATGGACAGGGTTATTCAGAGACCATTATTTATAATAATATTTAGAATTTGTAAAACCTTTAGGGTTGTGTAACATTTCTAACAAAAGGAATAACCTTGCTGGTGAACAGACCACCATATAGACCTACAGATTAAAGCTTCTTTCCGGTTTACCTTGGATTTTTCTGCCTGTAATGAAACAATATGGCTGCTAAGGGCTCCTCCATCTTTAGCCACTTGCCAGCTGCTCTGTTTTCTTTTGAGATCTCACTCAGATTTTAAGTATTCTTTCTATTTAGCAGCTGACATTCACAGCTATGAACAACATTAAGAGTTATGAGAGCTGCAAGCCATAAAGAAAATCATGTATAAAGGCATCGGTGCAAATAAATAGTAGATTTTTTTTCTATTCTAAAAAATGCTCAAAACTGTACACTTTTTGCAGCCCAGTAAATCTGATTATTAGCAGGCAGCTTGGGGAATAGTATCTGTTACCCATCACAGTCAATTCGACCACATCTTTTTCAAAAGCCTGTTGAATTCTTGACATATTCTTAAAGCCAGCACTGTCATAGGCAGTATGCTCAGGTATGCCACGAGGCAGAAAAGGCTCTTCCTCCATAGGCTGGATTCCCTGAGGAAATCTATGAGCAGAAGTGTTAGGAGAACTGGCCCGGAAAAGCTGAGACGGTGGTCAGGTTGAGCACTATTCACAAAGTTGTTGGCAGAGAAATGAAATTGGTCATGTAGGCTAACTGTCACTCAGTCGAGCAGGATTTGCCAGTTGAGCACAGGAAGTCTAATGCCTGCTGTGGGACTGAGTTTAAAGGTGACCTCTTTTAAAAAGATTCATGAGATCAGCCAATTTGATTGATTTGTTTTGGGTTGGGTTTTTTTTTTATCTCCCATACTTATGCACAAAAACACCTGGGAGTTTTAAACACAGTTAATAAAAAACAAAACAAATAACCATGCTGGAGATTTTGCATCTGAGTTAGAAAGAGCTTTCTGTCAAGAAGAAAACAAAACAATATATCAGTGAATAATGAATGACTGCCTCATAATTTTAGAATGAAAGATTCTCCATT